ATTGCAGAAACTTACATTCCTGAAGATGCGTCCAGTAGTGAACATTTTTCCATTATGTCGGTAAAATCAATAATTCCTCCATATTCACTTTTGCCTGATTACATTCGATGTCCATGTGTGCTGCATTGTTGGTTTGCACAAAGACAATTAAACATGAGCTGGCACATAGCCAGGATATCCTGTGATGAACTTTTTTATATAACAAATTTTATTGGTTTTTTAACTTTTATAACAGAATGCTCAAGACACACTGTGGTGGTTAGGCGATCAATCATCCAAAACCAAAATCATATAATAGCTGAAGTAAATACATTAAATGTTCCTTCTCTATTTCCCTCAAATAATATAACCTGTTTAACATAATCCATTTCTCCATTACATATCTATAAATCCTAATCCTGTTTTGAGCTTTATTAATTTAAAATTACCATAGTCCAATTTAATATTAGATAAATGTATTATCACTTTGGGTATCCCTTCTAAAATACTAATCCAGATATATTCTAATTCATAATCTCATAAATCATTGATTTTATCACAGATCTCTCTTATTTCTTCAAATAGCATTTAAATCTCATTCAAATAATTATCATATCTAAAAAAAGAACACACCTATTATTACACAAAACATCGTCTTGCTAACTTAACACACTCAATTGGTTGTTAAAGCAATCCGAATTTCTAAAAACCTCTTTCATATTCTTATTCTCATTCCATTACAAAATAATTTTCATACAAATAAACATATTATTCCAAAAAATACATTCTTACTCTGTTTAACATATATATATATATTCTAATAATCACAAATTTTCAACTCTAAATCTTAATCCTTAAATCAATCCATATTTCTCAAAACCCTTGTAATCCATTACATATAATTTTAAATTTCTCTTTTTAGTCTTATTCTGGCTTTCTTTTTATGCCACAGGTTTCCATAACAAAGTCTCTATTTCAGCAAATAGATCTCCCATTATTGCTTGTAATATCATTTGGGTCAGTAAAAGACCTCCCATCCTCTGTTTTTGATGCCTGGTTCCTGTCTGCTGGATAAAACACTGGATCATGTCCAATTTTATAATTAGTAGTTGATTATCAAAGTTGTCATAATTCTCCAACAGTTATAATTTCAAGTCCATTTCTGTTACTTTTGCAACTGTAGATAGTTTAGTTACAATCATTTTTTGGTCATCCAAAGTCTCCATAGGTTGTATGTAAATTAATTCCTCTTCTGTTGCTTTTTGGTCTATAGAGTGATCAAATAGAGTCTGAAGGTCAGTCTGTAAATTCACAGTAGAATTTCTGTTTATTATTTCTGCAGTTCTCTCTCTTATTTGGGAACATATTTCCTCAGTAGCTTCATAATTTTTTCCAGTATGAGTTTACAGTTGAGTTGTGAATATGGTTTCTCCATTTCAGTAGTAACACAAACAAGAAACAATTTCTCCACAAGATGACCTCAGTAAACTATGAAAGTCTCTTCCAGACATCAAGAATGAGATTAGCAAAGTCAAAGAGCTATGGAGTCACTTTTCCAGCTTTTCATAGAGTTGTTGTTGTTGTTGTTGTTTCAAACAATAAAGATTTATCCCTTTAAAAAAATAAGTCCAAGACATAGGAAAACAATATTCTCCAGCTTAGAAGATACAATAATAAAGTTTTATGATAAGGATTTTTCCAGGGCCCCCAAGTAATCAAAAATAAAAATAGTCAATAAGAAGTTTTTTTCCTTTGTTATGGAAAGCTCTTTTCCCCAGATAAACACAGGCAGCTCTTTCAAAGCAGGGAAGTAATTCCAAAAGGCTTTTAACAGGAGAGTAGAGAGAAAGAGAGAGGGAAAAGTCTCACTGGGATCATCGACAATGGTGTCTTAACACTTAGATGTTCTTTTGACTTTCAGCTGGAGCAGCTAAATAATCGGCCATGTTACGGGCTGATCTTTTCTCCGTCGGCCCTGAGGAGCTGCCTCAGACCACGGAAGGAGCTGCTTCCTCCCCCCGCAATCAACGAGAGTCCTCCAGGGTGACCTTTTGACCCGATTAAGAGTCTACTGGCAGAGAAAAAGCAGTTAACGAAGAGAGAGAGCCTCTTCATGTGCTTGCACCCACTGCAACCCAAACCGGAAGTCCTGTGATGAACTTTAGTGGCTCCTCCTACATATCTGTTAACACGTGATTTCCTGAATAGCTAAAACTATATTACCAATAAGCCATCTCTTAAGGAGACAGCGCCTAACACTATAAATGCCAAAAATTCTAACATACAAATCTATATGCTCTGGTAAGGGTTACATTGATCCAGCACATGACCACAAATGTGCCTGGCTGAGGAATTCTGGGAATTGAAGTCCACAAGTCATAAAAGGGCCAAGTTTGAAGATTCCTGCTTTATAGTGTCCAAAAAATACTATCCCAAACATCTGGGTGAGGACAAAGGGTGGGAAAGGTTTCCAAAACCTGACTCACAAGGAAGCCAAGTAAAAGGGTAGCTCTTAGAGCCCCTTCCCCCACTCCTCTGTCCTTTGGAATGCTCACTCCAGCACTGAGATAATTAGAAAAGAATTAATGTTGGTATTTACATTCATTATAGAGGATGGGATTACAAGAGAGTAAGAAGGCATACTATTAAGTACTAAGTTTGACTTGGAACAGGTGCAGGGAGCTGCACTTAAACCGTTAGCAGACCCCGTGGCTGCTAACCTAGACAGGCTGTCTACAAGTTAGTTAGTATGCATTTAAGCGGGAAAATACGCTGCATTCATTGGCTGACACCACCCTTAGCTGAATGTATAAATAGATGCGGAGCCATCTTGTTTTGAGTTCTGTTTTAGTCTGAAATAAAGAAGTACCTGTTTGTGAGTCCTGCCTCTTCAATGCCTACCAACGCAAGAAACAGAACATTGGCGACGAACGTTGGATCGTGCTGCCGCAAATTCAAAGGCTGACTCACCACGGCAGTGAGTAGTAGAGAATTACAGCATTTTTTTTTTTTTTTCTTCCAGAGCACTGTCTTGTGTTTTGGAGAGGTTGATCTCCTTGGCATGCCTTTTTTTTTTTTTAGGAGACTTGATTTAGGTCATAGCTGAAAGCTCTTGAGATTATTTGAATGCTGTTCCAGAACATTTCAGTTGGAGAAGCATCTCAATGTAGGGCTGGTTAAGTAATGCTGGGCTCCTGCCTAATGCTTATCACTTTCCCCTTGTCAATTTGTCTGCTGCGGGTATAGAGTTGCCACTAATAGCAAAACTTCCACATTGCAAACTCCACATGGCTGTGCATATTTTGCTGGGCTGTTTCAGGTCTGCTTTGGCTAGATCCTATGGGAAGTCCCCTCAGAGACTTGCCGTGACACTGGGCAGACCGATCGAGGAAACCAGTGCTGGCATTTTTAGCAGCAGCCACACCATGAAATATCCATCTAGAAATCTCTTCTTAGAGATTCCAAAAAAGACTGGTTATTTGCTAAAAAAACAAGTAATGTTCTAATTGGCAGACCAGCCTCTCTCTCTTGAGGTTTGTGAAATGTTATTGTCAATGCCTTAGCCTTAGAATTTAAAGGAGCCATTCTGATGTACAAATCAGAACTCACCTGTTGGGCCAGCTGTGGATTGCATGTCACAAATCCTTTGAACACAGCAGACTGTTTTCTGTTTAGCAGCAGATTGGAGGATATTGGAGGAAAACAAATTTGTAGCTGGCTTTTTCCCCCTTTTCTTCTGATCTCATAAATATTGCACCAGAACTCCTGTATGTAGACAACTCTGTTTTTGAACCTTTTTGCAGCCCTAACACAGTGTTGCAAAAAATGACCATATTTTTAGCCATGCTTTTATTTGCATAAACAAACAGGGTTATTTTTAGATGGATGCAAGGAAGAAAGAGACTTTCTTACACATTGACTGAAAATATCATCTATTCATATTCTTAAGAGTTTCTTTTCCATTTTTTTCATATCAGTCTTACTACATTCAAAGAAAGTGGGGGGGTCACTTGCAAGGCTACTGGTTGCTTGGCCTAGCCATGTTTAATTTCCTTTAGCCATTCCTAAAAATATAACCTATGCTTGCAGTCTTGGGCCATAAGCATCATTGGCTGGGTTCACACAACACAAAGATCCAGGAGCTTAACTTTTTTTTCTGGCTCAACAGATTTGCCTAGTTTTTGAATGGCCTACTGGGATGCAGCTATAATAATAATAAAGTTGGAAGGGATCTTGAAAGTCATCTAGACCAACCCCCTGCTCAGGAAGGAAACCCTATACCATTTCAGACAAATGGCTGTCCAGTCTCTTCTTAAAAACTTCCATTCATAGCTTCTGGAGGCAGGTTGTTCTACTGGTTAATTCTTGGAGCTGGGCCAGACACTCAATTTCACTTAATTTTATTTATATGAAATGTTACTAAAAGTTAAATATACAGTTCTTTTCCAGTCATGTATTTGATGGCTTCTCACTCCTGCTTTAGATAACAGTGCATAAATAGCTCTGCTAGGTTGACTAAAGCCTATCTTGGTCCAAGATTTTGTTTCTCGCAGTGCCCACTAGATACTGTAGGGTACTCACAAGCAAGAAATGAGGGCATCCCCTGCACCTGATAGTTGGACCATACTTCCCCCAGCTTGGAAGCGTTCACGATTAATAGCCCTTACTGCGCCTGTCCTCATTGAGTCAAAAATCTATCCAAGATTATTATCGCTACGTTACATACTATTGAATTAAACAGGTTAAGAACAATGTATTTGGTTTGTAGATGAAAGGAAGGGCCAAGGTAGACTTATCCGAGAAATGGAAAGATATTCAGAGGTTAAAATATTTGGAATGGTCCATTTTAGAATCAGAAAATTTTTCATCTCACCCTAAAACAGGCCTCCATTTTACTGAGATTGTTTTATACTGAAATTAAATTGAACATGACCCCTTTCACTATTTTGAGCATTTCTTACTCCAAAGGCAGTCCTATTTGAGTCTTAAAAAAGCTTACTGCCTGGGAATATATTCCAATATAGTTGGATATGGTTAGGGATATAGAAGAGATGTAGTAATATGTTACATTTTCTCTCGTAACTTTTTCAAAAGTTTTCACGGGGGGCAATTCACAGTTTTCTTTCCTGCAATAATGCTCTGGATCCAGTCAAGATGATCGAAGACCTTGGTGTAGAGGCCAGGCTTATCCAGTTGGGCACAAGGATTGGGTCCCCAAAATACAATGCCCTGGAATTGCCCATTACAGATGATGGGTCCCCCAGAGTCACGCTGTTGAGAAAAATCAAACATGAAACATTAATAGCGTATCTATGAATGGGAAGTGGAGCAAACAATTCTGTCCATTCACATATAGCCCCCAGTGTTTCACTTCCATGTTCCCCAATCCAGGATCCTTGTAGAAGAATTTAACTCCTTGAGTTTCCCCCACCAGAATCACCAGTATTGGGAAGTCTGGAAATCTAGACACCTAGAAGGCACTTGAGTTAGCAAAAGCCGTAACTTTGTATATTTCTACAAGATGCCTTCAAGGCTAGATCTCTGTCATAACTTTGAAAATTGGCATCATTTCTTTAGGAGTCTGTCTTAAAACGGATCATCTTACATTACATGTATCTATGCCTCCTTCCAGGACACCTGCACACAATGTTCTGCTCGTCGCTGGCAACCCCAGTTGTGGGTGAGCTGCTCGACACACCTCATAATTGAGTATGTTAATGTTAGCACAATGAGGGACATCAGGCAAAGTCTCTGAAAAAAATAAAAAGTAGGCTAAATTCTACCTTTCACAATTTACCACCTAGATGCATAGAGCTATAATTTCCATTGGTTCCAACCAGTGGAGCTGATCTCATTGCCTGGAATAGGAAGTGTTGTCTTTCAAAGCCATTCAAAGGGACTCCTGGGAAAAACAGATTTAGTTAAATGTTTTTGTCAAGATATTAATAGGTCTTAAATCAGCTGATGGGCATTTGAAGGCTTCTCAAATTTCTCCGGCACTCTACGCAAAGATTGCCTTGTTGGAAAAGTGGGGCTTTTGCTAGTTCAAAAGTTATAGAACTGATCTTGCATCCCCTGGAGATGACCTAGAATGGGGGTCTCCAAACTTGGCCACTTTAAGATTTGTGAACTTCCACTCCCAAAATTCCTCAGCCAGCATAATGAAACTTCCATATCTCAGAATGAAGGAGACGCATAGGTTTGTATTGTGTACAAGAACAAAAAGCCAGGAATCTTGTCCAAAGATTCCTTTGGGAGGACAGATGAGATGGAAATAAGTGTAAGGAAACAAAAGAAAAATGTCATCTGAATCAGACAAAGTTGAGCCTGAGAATGTGGAATAAACCCCAATCCCAGCTAATCAACAAATCAAGAAGTTTTCAGGATAAAAAGGGGTCCTAAAGCTCACCCACTCCTTGAGTCAACTTTGGATCCACAACTTATGAGTTTCTGTCCCTCTACCTGGTGCCTGGCAGCCTAACTCAGAAGGATGGTCTAAACATGGATGGATGCATGAAAAAGAATAAATTTATATTGCAAGCAGTAAAGTTTTGATGTTACTTTAAATTCACTTGGTCTCCATGTATTCCAAAAAACCTGTGCTGCCTCAGTGGTTAGTTGAATATTATTTGTGTGAGTCCTTAATTATTTCCCAGCTCTTGACAAGGGCTGTGTGACTTGTCTGCTCTAGCTACACCTATTTGGTAGAAACCTAGGTAGAAAACAAGGTGGGCTTACAAAATCTAACTGCCTTGCAGGCTTGAATGTGTGGATGACCATAAGCCAAAGCATGTAACACTTCCATGGCCTTACTAGCAATAGCAATAGCACTTAGACCTATATGCTGCACTCTCTGGATGATTTACAGCATCCACATATTGCCCTCAACAGTCTGAGTCCTCCTTTTATCAACCTCAAAAGGATGGAAGGCTGAGTCAACCTTGAGCCCCGCCAGGATCGAATTCCAGACTGGGAGCAGAGATAGCCTGCAATACTGCATTCTAACCACTGCACCACCAGGACTTAAAAGGAAGAAGTCCTGTGCAATCATCCACAGAGACTTTATATCCATCCAAGGATAGACCACGTGTTTGAGTTCATATTTGGTATTTTGAGAGCAAGGAGTAAATATACTCTGAAAACATCCTCCGCGGGAGACTTTTCTATTTACAAAATGGCCATGGCCATTCACAAAACACCCCATTATTAAAGGTAATGAAGCCCCACAAGACTTTCATGGTAATGGGACTTTTCTGATTCCCAACAGCACTGCTATAAATAAACCAGATCCTATAGGTTTTCTTTTTTTAGGTATACAGCATGCCAGTTCCTTACTTATTTCTTTTATTCCAAGGACCTTGTGGGTGTGGAACTGATGAAGAAATGGAATCTTAGATAATCCCATTGTAGATCCACATTCCAATATTCATGGGTGACATAGTGGGACCTTAGAGCTAGTTGGTGTTCCATCAAAAGCTGGGTCTGGGAATATAGACAGAGATCCCTACCTTGAGGAGATGTGGTTTGACCCCATCCCATTGCACGGCAAACTGAGCCCACACTGGGAGGGCTGGAAGGCAAGCTGAGAGGCGTGATGTGTGTACTGTAGCTAACAGGACTGTCCAGCCTGATCAACATGATGTCCTTGTCCCATTTGGTAAAGTTATTGTGACAACGAAAAAAGTACTTCTCCTTTGCGTATCTTATCTGCTCATCGTCAAATTTTACATTTTTGTTATGCATACCAAGCCTGATGTACATAAATACCCTACAAGAAAAACAACAAGAAGTTAACAACAACAACTTAAAGTAAACTCTATATTACTTGGGGTGGTCCTTACCTCATTTTGGCCCTCTAGCAGGATTGTTAGCACCTGAAAGCTGGAAGACTTATGTCAATGTCCTAGAGATCTGGGTTCACTCAAGAAATTTATTCAATGTGATTGAATAAGCTATTTCCATTGTTGATGTAAAATCTTGAAGGGTGAATTTACCTGTGTGCTGTTTAGCACTCAGAAAGCTCAGCATATAATATCTTTCTTGACTTGGATGTGTATTGTGTAAATGTTGCACTTATAAATTATAGATGACTGTGTTAAAGATAGAACCCATGTGGTTACAGTACTAATGTTATAACTTTGTATTGCGCACATCCTCTCTCAACCCAGCCTATCTCAAAGGATGGTGGGATAGATAAAAACAAACACAAAATCTGGATGGTGCCCACTCTGCTCTTATTTAGAAGAGGTATTAAGGTGTAGTGCCTCACCCAGGCCTTTGATAAGGGAGAGAGAAGCCTCTCACTTCATTATCTTTTTATCTTTTATGTTTTACTGATTTTTTTAAAAAAATATTTTCTTATGGTAAACCCCCAGAGTCAGGCAGCATATGCTTACTATTTTCTGGTTAAATGCGTAGTCAGTCAGATATTTAGACTAGATTTGGCATTTTTATCCACCTACCAAGTCCTTCCCAAGGACCTGGGGTAGGTAAATTTTGTGGTTCCATGGTATTAAAGGTAATGTTCCAGATTTTGTTATTCTTGTTATTATTATATCCCAGAAAAAAAAGAAAGATATGAATACTATGGTGAAGAAGATGGAAATTCAACCATAAATATAAACAGCACTGCTCAAGATATGATTGTGAGGAGTAATAGCAGTAGCAGCGGAACACTCATTCAAAATGCACAGAGAAGTCACTAAAAACTAGCAGAAACATTATAAAAAAATCTGGATAGCTAAACACAAACTCCCTCAACCCTTCCACATTCTGTAATGCCCTCACCTGTTGCAGTGTGCAGCAGTGAGCACCCATTCCTCGTTGAGCAAAGTCCCACCGCAGAGAAAAGTCTTAGGCCTAGAGTGATACAAGGCTACAAGGAAACGATGTTCATTTATGTTACATTCATCACCTCCAATCACCAGTTCAGAAGACTTTTGTGCTGAAAAGAAACCAAAAATGTTCAATGTTTGGCTGTGGAGTAGAACAGAATCGCTTTTATTGGTAGTGTTTCTATCAGTACACTAATTTTGGTGGGTAACAGATGACTGTGGGCACAGAGCATCAAACCAGTTAAATAAAATGTGTCATTTGCAAATGATACATATGCCCATGTAGGTAAACTACCTGTGAATCTTAGGTGATTAATGTGTGTGTGTGTGTACACACACATACACTTGAAAAAGGGCATCAGAATTTCATTTTTAACGTGTGTCAGTGTGTTCAGATGAGCTTCTGAAAAGGTTTGACATTTAGAAGCATTCGGTCCAGAGTCTGATCTTGCTGTATTGCATTGCTAAAGCAAAATAAGTGTCCTCATGAGGGGGAGAATAGGGGGCAGAAGGAGTGAAAGTGGGGAAGAGATTAATGAAAATGGAATTTACTCTATGTGAAGTTGATAACATCAGCATTTAGTTCACTAAAAACAGTTTGAGCCAACACTGATGACAATAAAATCCCTACATACTGATTTTGATATTTGTTTCAGAAGCAATGACCCAGATATTGCACGCTTGTAGAATCCAACAAATCTAAATGAATGGGAGCTAGGTTAAATCCAACAGATTTATTTTACCAATTTGGACAAAAATCAATGGCCATCTCATGCACCATTTTTTTAAAGACCACCTTAACACTGAAACCCCACCCCAACTTTCTTCTCAATGCATCTTATATTAATTAATATGTTATCTTTCTCTATTGAAGTCAGTTGCCAAATAAATAGAAACACGAAAGGAAGCTGACCATATTTGGGATTATATATTTTTAACTGGCTAGTGTTGCTGATATGAATACATGTATAAATTCATAATATCATTACAAATACAGCAATGGTCTTCCCCATTTGTACCAACCGTGCATTCTTCGCCCACTCTCTACTTGTGACCTACTTATACACCTACCGTTAATAATTACATGCAGATATCAGAACCCATATCTCTCTGATTTCATACTTCCCTTGCTCTCTTCCTCTCTCCCAAATTCCATTCTCTTCTCTCTCTGGGTTCTGCCATAGTCGTAGAGGGGAGGGGGAAGGATCGTGGGTTTATTGCCTTAGCTTTCTCTATCACTACAATGTAACACTGGTCTCCCTTGGGTCACGGCTTGCGGAAGGGCTGGCCCACTCAGTGGAGCCTCCAGCGGGCTGCTCCCAGCAGGGATCCCGGGGCTTCCCCAGGCGGCTCCATGGCCACAAGGCCCTGGCTGTGCTTCTCCCAGGGGGTGGAACACCCAGGTGCAGGGCCAATGAGGAGCCCTGCAGGAGGTAAGTGCACGTGAGAGAGAGAAAGAAGGGAAGTGAAAGTGCCTCTCTCTCTCTCTCTCTCTCTCTCTCTCTCTCTCTCTCTCTCTCTGCAAATGGCAGAGGAGGTCATGCGGAGATGGATATGGAGCAGTGTCTCAGTTCCTAAGACCATTGGAAATATGTGTTTTCCAATGGTCTTAGGCGACCCCTGTAAAAGGGTCATTTGACCTCCAAAAGGGTCGCAACCCACAGGTTGAGAACTGCTGGCTTAGGTGAATCCACTTTTCCTTACCCATCCACTAGTAGTCAGTAGTAGAGAATTACAGCATTTTGCTTTTTTTTTTTTCTTCCAGAGCACTGTCTTGGGTTTTGGAGAGGTTGATCTCCTCAGCATGCTTTTTTTTTTTTTAGGAGACTTGACCTAGGTCATAGTTGAAATCTCTTGAGCATCATTTGAATGCTGTTCCAGAAACTTTCAGTTGGAGAAGCATCTCAATGTAGAGCTGGTTAAGTAATGCTGGGCTCCTGCCTAATGCTTATCACTTTCCCCTTGTCAATTTGTCTGCTGTGGGTATAGAGTTGCCATTGCTAGCAAAACTTCCACATTGCAAACTCCACATGGCTGTGCATATTTGGCTGGGCTGTTTCAGGCATGCTTTGGCTAGATCCTATGGGAAGTCCCCTAGGAAACTTGCTGTGAGACTGGGCAGACCCATCCAGGAAACCAGCGCTGGCATTTTTAGCAGAGCCACACCATGAAATATCCAAAAAGACTGATTATTTGCTAGAAAACAAGTAATGTTTTAATTGGCAGACCCACCTCTCTCTCTTGAGCTTTGTGTAATGTGACATGGGACATTGCATGCAAGCAGCTTCTCATGCCACACCTACCTCAGGCCTTGTGCCTATGGGACAGTGTTCCCAACCGGGATCTCTCGCTGATCTGGGGAATTCCACCCCACCAAGGAACTCTTGAGTTGGGCTTACCAGATAGAGCCAGCCGAAGTCAAATAGACAAAGGGTTGGGCTTACCAGACCAGGCCAGCCAGCAAGATCCAGGTTCACCCGCATCAAACGGGCCTCAAAGTCCCAGTCTGCCGAGCCTGGCAGGCGAGCTTGCAGACCGGGCAGTTGTAGCAGCTCCGAGATGATCGGAGTGAGCCAGAAGCCCTCCAAAGTTCTTACAAGATTATGTTAGGTTCATGTCAGTAAGTGGGTAGGCCTAGTGTTCCCTAGAAATAAGAACACGCACAAAAGAGTACTGTGATATTATAAAGTATTAAGTATGTTGTAGAGAGTGACTTATAGTGGTTGAAATAGTAGCATCTATTTTTTGAACCAAGAGGGGAGGGGTGTTATGTCCTGGGCCTGTGATTGACAGGGCAGGTGCAGGATGCTGCAGAGAGATCCAGGCAGATCACGTCACCTGCCCGGGCCAGACAGGGTGTCTCCAGCCTATTGCGCTTGCGCGGAGTGGGAAAATACGTTGCATTTATTGGCTGACGCTGTTCCCTGCAAAAGGTATAAAAGGGATCAGCGCCATTTTGTGTTGTTCTGTTAAAGCTGAAATAAAGAAACATCTGTTGTTACTCCTGCCTCGTTTCAATGCCTTACCAACACAGGAAACAAAACACTTGTAGTCTTGGGCCGTAAGCATCATTGGCTGGGTTAGCACAATGCAAAGATCGAGGAGCTTAACTTTTTTTTCTGTCTCAACAGATTTGCTTAGTTTTTGAATGGCCCACTGGGATGCACTTTCTTGGAGCTGGGCCAGACACTCAGTTTGACTTAATTTTATTTACATGAAATGTTAATAAAAGATAAAGATACAGTTCTTTTCTATTTGATGGCTTCTCACCGCTGCTTTAGATAACAGTGCATAAATAGCTCTGCTAGATTGACCCAAATGTATCTCGGTCCAAGATTTTGTTTCTTGCAGTGCCCACTAGATACTGCTGGCGTATTCACAAGCAAGAAATGAGGGCATCCCCTGCACCTGATAGTTGGACCATACTTCCCCCAGCTTGGAAGCGTTCACGATTAATAGCTCTTACTGCACCTGTCCTCATTGGGTCAAAAATTTATCCAAGATTATTATCGCTACGTTACATACTATTGAATTAAACAGGTTAAGAACAATGTATTTGGTTTGTAGATGAAAGAAAGGGCCAAGGTAGACTTATCCGAGAATGAGTCCTGTTAAATACTGCAGAGGAAGGACTACCTAAGATGGAAGCCAAATTCTCAATAATAGCAAAATTAAACCTAGCTCAATTTTGGTTATGTAATGATCTGATCTCTGCTAGCAGTCCATCAATGGTAGGAACAAACGTCAGTTGGCTTTACACAGTGCATTAGACGATCAAACAGGTTGGTTTGGTGATGGCTTCCTGACCTATATGAACCTAAGCAATTATGAGTTTCATTTCCATTCTTCAGAATTTTTTTTTCCAATTTCCCACTCTAGTAGTATCCTTTCCACCAAGTCAGACCTTTTTCTTTTCTTTTTTTTTTTGTAATTTATTGATTTTTTTAAAACATAAGTCACTTAAAAATTGCTCAACAGTGTGTTTTCTGGGTTTACATTTGTAAAACAATCACTAACAATTGATTTCTATAATCCATAATCCACTTAATAGTTTTAATTGATTTCCTCTTTTCCCCAAAATATCCTCTTTTGAAAACATTAGGCTAATACAATTCTTATTGTTTTCATAGATAACAATTAAATATATTTCCCCAATATTCCTAAAAAGAATAATCACATCAATATAATATTTCTTTTCTATCCAATCATTCCGGTTGCCTTATCATAGATCCTGTTACAGTCCTTATTTAAATTTGTTTCTCCCACAAGATTCTAAGTATTCTTACTGGTTAAGATTTTCTCAAAACTTGATTGCAACATCTCACACTTTTACATTTCTTAAGGAATAGATAAAATAATGAAAAAAAGAAATATAGGAGAGCAAGAGTAAAGAAGCATAAAAAATAACATAATACTTAAAATATATATCCCTCCTAAGCTAATATATATTTGTTTCCAAGATTTTTTATTCTTTTTAACCATAATGAAAAATATGTTTAATCTTTAAATATTCCATTTAATACATCTAGTTATTTAGTCCTTTAACTCTTTTTCAAAACATTTTTATCCATGATAATTTTCTTAAGTTCAATCTCATTTAAATATCTAAAACATTTCCTTTCTCTAAGCCATTTCAAATTTTTTATATTACTCATATCAAAAAATAAAATAAAAAAGGGGGGAAAGCATACTATATTATTTAGGGGATTCATCCCTCTTAGAGTGACATATATATTCCAAATCTTTTCTATTTCTTTAACCATATTCAAACAAATGTTTCTTTTTAAAGTATTCTCTCTGGTAGGTCCCATCATCATTTTCCCAATTATTGTGATATTTTTCCCACTAGGATTAAATCATGTTTCCTTGTTTTGTTAAGTTCCATCTTTAAGTCTCTATTTTCAATTTGGTATCCATTTATTTGTTTTATCTGCTCCTTCTCTGCTGTTGTTTTTTCTGGGAATTTTTTTGTTGTAGAGTTAACTTGGAAATAGATTGATTTATATTTTCAAACTTATTTTGGATTTCTTTCTGGTTTAAAATCATTGTTGTTCGAATTAGTTGCAGTATACAACTTATCTCCTCCTATGGAGTATTTATGTTTTTTTGATATGTTCTTTCTACATGTCTCTGATCCATGATGGCCAAGAATTTGAGTTTTTCTCTTCTTTTCTTTACTCTGCAAACAGCTTTAGAGTCCCAATTAAACAGATATTTGTAATCCAAATAGTTCAAAAAAGATTTTTTTTTCTCCTCAAATTTATAATTCTCTTTGTTTACAGCCCAGATTATTGTCTCACTTTTCTCTCACAGCTTTGAAGGTCACAAAAACAGATTAGCTTTTCCTAGATTTTGCCAAGTCTTATATTAAAGTCATAGCTCTCATAGTCTTCATCCACCACTAGATGTCAGCATCCATTTGTTTTTCAATTTTCAAAATCTTTAGAATGAGAGTCTTAACCATTCAACCATTTTAGATTTATTCAGATTTGAGTTTTAAATTTCAGGTTTTATATTTGTTTCACTTCCATATATTTTGATCCTCCATAAAAAGATTAATTTGCTGTTTGTGGGGTGACTGCATGACTCCATATGAGTGTATTGTAAATGCCACAGAAGTACCAATAGAAGAGAATATTCCAGCACTGATGATGTTATCTAGCTGGGTAATGAAATATCTGCAAGAAGAGAAGCTCAGAGAGCATCAAGGACCCCACTGTCCCAGAAGTAGACAGAAATTGAAAGATATTCAGAGGTTAAAATATTTGGAATGGTCCATTTTAGAGTCAGAAAAGTTTGCACCTCACCCTAAAACAGGCCTCCATTTTACTGAGATTGTTTGATACTGAAATTAAATGGGACATGATCCCTGCAACACTATTTTGAGCATTTATTGCTCCAAAGGCAGTCCTATTTGAGTCTAAAAAAAGCTTACTACCTGAGAATATATATATAGTTCGATATGGTTAGGGATATAGAAGAGATGTACTAATACGTTACATTTTCTCCTCTTAACTTTTTCAAAAGTTTTCACGGGGGCTAGTCAAAGCTATATTTCCTGCAATAATGCTCTGGATCCAGTGAAGATGATTGAAGACCTTGGTGTAGAGGGCAGGCTCAAGTATGTAACCACAAACATCACTCCCCCAAGATACAATGCCCTGGAATTGCCCATTACAGATGAGGGGTTCCCCAGAGTCACCCTGTTGAGAAAAATCAAACATGAAACATTACTACCGTATCTATGAATGGGAAGTGGAGCAAACAATTCCCTCCCACTGTCCATTCGCATATAGCGCCCAATGTTTCACTTTGATGTTCCCCAATCCAGGATCCTTGTAGAAGAATTTAACTCCTTGAGTTTCCCCCACCAGAATCACCAGTATTGGGAAGTCTGGAAATCTAGACACCTAGAAGGCAGTTGAGTTAGCAAAAGCCATAACTTTGTATGTTTCTACAAGATGCCTTCAAGGCTAGATCTCTGTCATAGCTTTGAAAATTGGCATCATTTCTTTAGGAGTCTGTCTTAAAATGGATCATCTTAGCACACATGTATCTTTGCCTCCTTCCAGGATACCTGCACACAATGTTCTGCCTTTCGTCGGCAACTCTGGATAAGCTGCTCGACACATCGTATAATCAAGTAGGTTAATGTTAGCACAATGAGGGACATCGGGATAAGTCTCTGAAAAAAAATAAAAAATAGGCAAAATTCTACCTTTCACAATTTACTACCTAGATGCATAGAGCTATAATTTCCATTGTCTCCAACTAGTGGAGCTGATCTCATTGCCTGGGAATAGGAAGTATTGTCTTTCAAAGCCATTCAAAGGGACTCCTGGGAAAAAAGAGATTTAGTTAAATGTTTTTTGTCAAGATATTAATAGGTCGTAAATCAGCTGATGGGCATCTGAAGGCTTCTCAAATTTCTCCGGCACTCTATGCAAAGATTGCCTTGTTGGAAAAGTGGGGATTTTACTAGTTCAAAAGTCAGAGAACTGATTTTGCATTCCCTGGAGATGACCTAGAATGGCGGTCTCCAAACTTGGCAACTTTAAGACTTGTGAACTCACACTCCCAAAATTCCTCAGCCAGCATACTGAAACTTCCATATCTGAAGATCAAGGAGACGCATAGGTTTGTATTGTGTACAAGAACAAAAAGCCAGGAATCTTGTCCAAAAGATCCCTTGGGGAGGACAGATGAGGTGGAAATAAATCTAAGGAAACAGGGAAAATGTCATGTGAATCAGACAAAGTTGAGCCTGAGAATATGAAATAAACCCCAATTCTAGCTAATCAACAAATCAAGAACCTTTGAGGATAAAAAGGGGTCCTAAAACGCACCCACTCCTTGAGTCATCGTTGGATCCACAACTTAGGAGTTTCTGTCCCTGGCAGCCTAATTGAGAAGAATGTGTCTAAACATGGATGGGTTCATGTGTGCATATGAGAAAGAATAAATTTACATTGCAAGCAGTAATGTTTTGCTGTTACTTTAAATTCACTGGGTCTCCATGTATTTCAAAAAAACTGTGGTGCTTCAGTGGTTAGTTGAAAATTATTTGTGTGAGTCCTTAATTATTTCCCAGCTCTTGACCAAGGCTGTGTGACTTTTCTGCTCTAACTACACTTATTTGGTAGTAGGATCCTAGACCCAGTTAATGTTACATCAAAAGCTGGGTCTGAGAGTATAGACAGAGATCCCTACCATCAGGAGATGTGATTGTGCCCCATCCCATAACACGGCAAACTGAGCCCACAATGGGAAGGCTGGAAGGCAAGCTGAGAGGCGCAATGTGTGCACTGTTTCAAACAGGTTTGTTCAGCCTGATCAACATGATGTCCTTGTCCCATTTGGTAAACTTTTTGCTACAGCGAAATAAGTACTTCTCCTTTGGGTATCTTCTGTGCTCATTGTCAAATTGCACATTTCGGTCATGCACACCAAGGTACATTAAGATATTTCTCCTACAAGAAAAACAACAAGAGGTTAACAACAACAACTTAAACTAAACTCTATATTACTTTGGATGGTCCTTGACCTCACTTTGGCCCTCAAGCAGGATTGTTAGCACCTGAAAGCTGGAAGAGTTACAGTCAATGTCCTAGAGATCTGGATTCACTCAAGAAATTTATTCAAGGTGATTGAATAAGCTATTTCCATTGTTTATGTAAAATCTTGAAGCGTGAATTCACCTGTGTTGTTTTTAGCACTCAGAAAGCTCAGCATATAATATGAATCCATCTCTTTCTTGACTTGGATGTGTATTGTGTGAATGTTGCACTTATAAATTATAGATGGCTGTGTTAAAGATAGAACCCACGTGGTTACAGTACTAATGTTATGACTTTGAATTGCGCACATCCTCTCTCAACCCAGCCTGTCTCAAAGGATGGTTGGATAGATAAAGACGAACACAAAATCTGGATGGTGCCCACTCTGCTCTTGTTTAGAAGAGGTATTAAGGTGTAGTGCCTCACCCAGGCCTTTGATAAGGGAGAGAGAAGCCTCTCACTTCATCATCTTTTTATCTTTTGTGTTTTACTGATTTTTTTTTAAAAAAATATTTTCTTATGGCAAACCCCCAGAGACAGGCAGCATATGGTTAATATTTTCTGGTTAGTTGCACAGTCAGTCAGATATTTAGACTAGGTTTGGCATTTTTATCCACCTGTAAAGTCCTTCCAAAGGACCCGGGGTAGGTAAATTTTGTGGTTCCATGGTATTACAGGGATTGTCACAGGATGTTCCAAGTAAAGCTGCCTTTTGCAATTGACTGTGGTGATGTTGTCAATGCTGATGGTATTCAGGTAATGTTCCAGATTTTGTTATTCTTGTTATTATATCCCAGAAAAAAGGAAAGATATGAATACTATGGTGAAGAAGATGGAAATTCAAAGATAAATATAAACAGCATTGCTCAAGATATGATTGTGAGGAGCAATAGCAGTAGCAGCAGAACACTAATTTAAAATGCACAGAGAAGTCATTAAAAACTAGCAGAAACGTTATAAAAAAATCTAGATATCTAAACATGATCTCCCTCAACCCTTCCACATTCTGTAATGCCCTCACCTGTTGCAGTGTGCAGTAGTGAGCACCCATTCCTCGTTGATCAAAGTCCCACTGCAGAGAAAACTCCCAGACCAATAATCATACAAGGCTACAAGGAAACGATGTTCATTTATGTTACATTAATCACCTCCAATGATCAGTTCAGAAGACTTTTGTGCTGCAAAGAAACCAAAAAAGTTCAGTGTTTGGCTGTGGATTAGAACAGAATCACTTTTATTGGCAGTGTTTCTATCAGTACACTAATTTTGAGGGGTAACAGATGACTGTGGGACACACAGCATCACACACACACACACACACACTTTGAGAAATTGATATACTAATTATGAAAATATAAAAATTAATTATTATTGACTATTAATTAGCTATTATTGATTGTATTTTAAAAAAAATCATGAAGCAAGACAACATGCTGTACACCAGGCACTACGGTTGTTATTGTAAAAAATCAATAAAACTCTTACCTAAAAAAAAAGAAGATCTTTTTGCTGGGTATTTTAAATAGGAAATACAGTAAAGAAATATGGTACTTAATTTTACATATAATAACGGCAGCAAGAATAGCATATGCACAGTGCTGGAAAAGTGAGAATATACCATCAGAGGAAGAAGTGATAAGAAAAATCCTGGACTGTGCTGAGATGGACAAATTAACAAAAGAGATAAAAGAAAAGGAAGACACAGAGTACTATATAATATGGAACAAGTGGTATGACTGGTTAGAGACTAGAAATAATAGAGGAGAATAAATATGGAAAGGTCAAAAGTGAAAATATGTGTATAATAATGTATAATAATGTTGGTAGAAATTCTAGCCCACTGAATAACACCAAACAGCAAGTTGAAATTAGACAGAGATTTATTGGCTACAACGGTTTGCAAAGCGTGGTGGACTCCAAATAAATATTTGAGCCACACCTGGTCACAGCAAAAACACACATTATATACATTCTATCCCGACGCCTTGGCCCCTCCTCTGAGGTTACAATCTTATCAGGATCGCCTAAACAAAATACAGTATCCCTGCCCCTTACTATTTTGCTTCACCTATACCCTAATATGTACTTTATCATGAAATCCTATAGCTCAGTGTGGAAATCCTATAGCCTACGTGCAGAACTCTTCCAAGGTACGTGTACATGTAGAAATTGTGTAGAAATCTTGCAGTCTATGTGTAGAAATTTTGTGTAGAAATCTTTCTGTCTGCGTGTAGAAATTTTACAGAGTACGTGTCACTTAACTTTACTTTTTATTCTAAAATTTTATTCCTAACAGATCCACCCTTTTTCTTTTCATACTTAATAAAAATTTAGAATCTTCTTAAATTCATTTCAATCTCTTCTTTGTGATTATTCTCTGTTATGTCTACTTTGTCTTTGATTTCCTTAAAGACTAACAGTGCCTGTATCTTTTCCTCCCATTTGATGCCATTCATTATACTTATTACAGTTGTATGGACTAAATTTTTAATCATAGGAATTAGGCAGTGCAAACACATTAGTCCTAATAATATTATGCCCACCATGAATAATGCTTGTTTCCAATTGCGAAAGATTCCTCCCAAAAATCCGCCTTCATCTAAAAGACCAGTCCAAGTCTGGACTAGAACATGTACAAGTTGTCTCATTTCAGTGGTTAATTGCTTCACTTCTGCACCTGTTTCATCTATTTGTAAGCAAAAATTCATTAAATTAAACTTCCCACATACCCCTCCTTCCTTAGTTAATATATCTTTTCTTTCTTTATAGTGATATAAGAGAATGGATCTGTTCCTGTTCCGTCTATCCCAAATCCATAACTTACTATATCAGAATGGTTCTTAGTGATTTCCAACTCCATCGTATTAGTTCCATATATTCTTTTAAATTTGGTAAACCATTACATCCTGGATAACCTCCTCCAGTGTAATCACACACACAACTCCACCCTGAACATTTAATAGATCCCCCACAAAGTAACCATTGATTGGGGTTTCCATTTGCAAAGTTCAAATTAGTGGAACATATATTTATGATTTTGTTTATATGCTATGATCCAACTAGAGTCTCCACACTTTGTGGTGAGATAAGATAAATTTAATACTGTGCATGCATCAAATTGTATCAAAGCTTTTTCTGTCCCCTTTTTCTAATATTTTAGTAGAATTGACGTATATTAATCTTTCTTCACCTTCAGATCTCTGTCTCACTCCTACTTTAGCTAAACTCACATATATACTGAAATTCAAATATGTTGACATTGATGGATCATAGCATTGTATCTTTTTGTCTCTTCCCTTACAAACTGAATATTGTGCTTTATTTAATTGAGATATAGATTGAAATATACACCCCTTTGGTGGCATTGGTAATGCAGGCTTCACATCCTTCTGCTTCTGTTGCTCTTCTATATCACTCCCTAGAGAGGGAGAGATATACAGCCAGGGACAAATATTCACATTTTATATTAATTTATATTAATTATATTTTATATTAATCTTCTTCTAAACTGTGATATTTTATGAAGGCTTCTCGTTGTTCTTCCTGGACTAATTGGATTGAAGGAGTATCTTTTAGAGTATATCTTACCACTCCAGTCAATGTCTCAGTATATTCCTCAAAAGGTTTCAATTTCTTTTCAATGAGTACTATATCACATGGTCCAAAATGTTCTTCACATCCAGTACATCTTACACAGTCAATACAATGGAAACAACAACAATCAACATGGCATTTACAGTCACAGTACCAACACATTTAAACATGAATTTTACAAAATATCAATTTAAACGAGTTGTCACCCGGAACACAGGTCCACTGTCCTTTTGGTTCAGCTACTGGTCCCTTCACTCGCATATAATGAGTCCACCCTTTTTCTTTCATCCGAACTGCAGTTTCAGAGGTCAGCAACACCTGGAATGGTCCTTCCCACTTAGGTTGCAATTTCTCCTCCTTCCACATTCGGATCAGGATCCACTGTCCCACCTCAAACTTGTGGACAGGAAATTCCAAAGGGGGTGTTTGGATCAGCAAGCCTTGTTTCCTGCAATGATCAAGATACTGCGACAGTTTATGCACATAATGTCTTATTACTTTATCCCTTGTCACTAAAGAATCCATGGAGATGTTTCCAGGCATAAATGACACACCATACAACTCATAAGGAGACAATCCTAAATCTTTCTGTGGTTGTGTTCTTATTTGCAACAATACTAAAGGTAAACATTTTATCCAAGTCATTTGAGTTTCATATTGTGGAATTTCCCACTTGAGGTAATTTAAAATCAACTTGAATGCATTGAAATAACCTCACCATTAGATGTTATAGAACATTCTATATATTTGTCTACATATCATACTTATTGTATAACCAACCATATATTAATCATAGAAAAGTATCAATTATCCCTCCCCTAGCCATTCCTTTGTCCGTATGTATTTACAAACAGATTACTTAGTAAAGAGCCAACAAAGGAGCGCTCACCAAACTCTGCTTGAGTTTGTTTGCATACAAATCTTTATTCAAAACAACATAGCTCATTTATAATCCCCCCAATTTTTTTTTCTCAACTCCTTCGTTTTAAACAAGGGTTGAATTATAATTCCTTCAATTCTCTTAGGTATTATTATTTATTTATTTATTTATCAGTGTGTCCTGCACAGAGATAAAAACATAAAAAAATAAAATAAAACAACAACAACAAAAAGCAACTCCACAAAATAAATAAATAAACAAACTTAATAAAATATTCTGAGTTACTGAAATAGTTTTGTATCAAACTCTAGTATCAACTCTTTGATTTTAATATAATTTTTGTCAAATTCCAATTTAATCAGATTCCATTCAGATGGAAACAAATTTCCATTAAATAGGTTAAATCATTTACAAATCTAAACAAATCAATTCAAAGTCATTTCTATTGGTTAATGGTTATATAGGTGTATTTCAGTTCTTCTCATACTTCATTTATTTAAAAAAAATAACCTTATTTCTTACTGCAAGAATGGGTATTAAATTTCACATCCAGCTCACCTTCCTCAAACTAGAATTCTAAGCAGAAAAAAAGTTAAAAAGATCAGACCCCCCCTTTTCTTTTCTGTCTTTCTCGCTCTTAAAGCAACACAGCCGGCTGGGAGTGGGGGGAAAGAGACAGGAAAAGAAGAAGAAATTATGCAACAATTGCACCACTAACAAAATAGTTTTCTCTTCACATGCATTTTCCATTTCACTTTTACAGTAACAACAAAAAAAATCTTCAGTTTACTGTTTCTTTCACAGTCTGGGATGGGGGAGAAACACTCTGTCTCTCTCTCACACACACACAGGATCAGCATATCCACACATTCATTTCCATTCAAACTGCTTGTATAAGCACTTTCACATACAGATATTTCATTTCATACTTTCTCCTGACAAACAAATAAGTAATTTTAAGGAACTGTTCAAAAGCCAATGAGCTCCTTTCCTCTCCCAATTTCCTTTGCTCTTAGAGCTTGCCTATTAACTTTCTTCCCCTTTATGGATCACTGCCTTGTCGTGGCGAAGGGGCTTGCGTAACTCAATGAAGCTATAAGCTATGCTGTGCAGGGCCACCCAAGATGGACAGGTTATAGCAGAGAGTTCTGACAAAATGTGATCCACTGGAGAAGGAAATGGCAAACCACTCCAGTATCTTTGCCATGAAAACCCCATGGACAGTACTAAAAGGAAAAAAGATATGACGCTGGAAGATGAGCCCCTCAGGTCGGAAGGTGTCCAATATGCTACTGGGGAAGAGCAGAGGGCTAGTACTAGTAGCGCCAGAAAGAATGAAGCGACTGGGCCAAAGCCGAAAGGACGCTCAGCTGTGGATATATCTGGTGGTGAAAGGAAAGTCCGATGCTGTAAAGATTTTTTCTCCATAGGAACCTGGAATGTAAGATCCATGAATCAAGGCAAGCTAGACGTAGTCAAAAAAGAGATGACAAGACTGAACATCGACATCTTAGGAATCAGCGAACTAAAATGGACAGGAATGGGTGAATTTAACTCAGATGACCATCAGGTATACTACTGTGGGCAAGAATCCCTCAGAAGAAATGGAGTAGCCTTCATAGTCAATAAAAGAATAGGAAAAGCAATACTGGGATACAATCCCCAAAATGACAGAATGATCTCAATTCGAATCCAAGGCAAACC